ACCCTGAGTTTTGCCCCTCCGTCTCGAGTCCCCGGCGACCGCAGCCGCGTAGATTCTGGCTGAACGAAAGGAGCTGAGTGACCGGGGCGCACTTCCCCGGAGCCTGAGGCTGGCGACACCCCCAGGGCGAGGGCGCGCAGTACGGTGGGAGGATCTGTCCTTGCGGGACGGAGGTTCGGACAGGGACGTGGGCTTTTCAGGGACTTTGGGTGGGTGTTGGGTTCTGCGGTGTGGGAGGGCTACCAGGTCACAGGACAAGCCAGAGTTCTCCTCAGTGAGCAGCGCGGACGGCTGCGGACCTCCCACACCTGCGATCCATGTCTCTCATGGCCCCGCGGTCCCGCATCGCTCCGCTTTGCAGCCTGAGAGCTTTCTAACAGCCTTAGTTCCCTCCTGCCCCCCAGGTCTTTCACATCCTGTTACCTAAACCACGGCAAGAATGACATTACAACCATAGGTACATATTTAATCTTGTGCTACACCCTCAGGTGTTGCTCCTCAGCCTTTTGGGGCATTCCCAGTTTCCTCTAATGAGCCTCACGCCAACCCCCACATGCTTTCCTCGTCTTCAGATTTGTCTGCCTGGCTCCTACTCAGCGCGGAGCTTGGCTGTTCTCTCAGAGTGTCACTTTTTGCTCCCTTGCTTCATGCACACGCTCAAATGTCCGGAGGTCTTGCAACCTTTCCTCAGTCACTTCATCCTTAGCATTATCTGGTCTACCTCATGCCTGTGAGGGTGTTCCTTAGATGCTTGGCTAACACTAGAGATGCTAGAAGAGATGCTCTGAACATCTCTAGGGACAACAGGGAACGAGGCTGACCCAGATAAGACCATTTTGAACTGAAGGACGGAAAAGAGATGCGGCATTGTGTATTCAGACATTTGGCCGCCACACCTGGGACTCTGTATGTACCCCATGTGTAGGTGTGGAGCTGGCTGTGGCTGTGGCTCCACGCTCCAGGGGAGGGCGGCAAGGAGAACTTGTATTGGGGCTGGGGGTGTGGCTCAGTTGTGCTTGGGTAGCATGCTTGCTCCCTGACACCACATAACCTGCTTGTGATCCCAGCACATCTGTGGCTATACAGCAGGTTTGAGGTTATTTTGGGCACGAGAATCCTGCCTTGGGCCACATCTGGAGGGAACAAACGGCAGGAGAAACTAAGGGTGACTGTATTACCGCAGGCCTTGGGCAGGCTCCTCAGAGACAGTGGTATATAGTCCAAGCTGTGGTTCCTTGGATGAGCCCCTCCCCTCCCCCAACCTCCTCTCATGTGATTTTTGTTCTGTGAACCATCACTGCCTTTTGCCCTGTCGTGAAGTTCCCTTCCCCAAGAGACCTGGGACTCTGGTGTCGCTGGGGCTATACCACCCAGAAACTCAATACAGAACCTGTCAGAGGCCAAGCTGACCCCAGTCTTTGGTTCACTAGTTATGAGTCTACAAAGCTCAGAATGTTAGGTTTCATGCTTATGATGCACGTGACTCAAGACTAAAGCCATGCCATTTTCTCTAAATTTCCCTGTTTATACATCTCAGCTTTATGACAGCTACAAGCCACATGGGAGGGAAATGTTGGCTGCTGAGCCCTGCCAAGAGGATGGCAGAAGGCAGGTGTTTTTAATCTTTCCTCCAGGGAGGACCTGTGCAAAGTAGTTCATGCCTACTTTGAGAAGCTGAGGTAATAGATTTGCCACTAGTTCAAGGCTATGCTAGACTACTCAAAATGATTAAAAAAACCAAGACACAGGTCCCAGAGTTGGGCAAGGACTTAGCTGAGAGGTTGTAGGCAACTCACTTTGCTCCTGAAACATGGCTATGTGAGCCTAGCTCAGGTGCTCTCTCCCCACAGGGCCTCAACTATGTCGCACAGGTTGAGCTGTGTGCTGTTGTGCAGCCTTGTGGCCCTACTGCTCAGCTGCCTGCTCTTTCTGAAGGAACACACACCAGCAGGGAGCTCCAAGGCCCACCAACACTTAGGGGTGCTGCCAGGGCCCCAGCCCAGCCAGTGCTTACCCAACCTAGCAATTGCTAACACCTCCCTGTCCCTGCCCAGCCGCCATCGCCTCTTCTTAACCTATCGACACTGCCGAAGCTTCTCGATCTTGCTGGAGCCTTCTGTGTGTGCCAGGGACACCTTCCTGCTCCTGGTCATCAAGTCACAGCCTGGCCATATTGAGCAGCGTGCAGCCATTAGAAGCACTTGGGGCCGGGCTGGGAGCTGGACTAGGGGCCGGCAGCTGAAACTGGTGTTCCTCCTGGGGGTAGCAGGACCTGTGCCCCCAGCCCAGCTGCTGGCCTATGAGAGTTGGCAGTTCAATGACATCCTACAGTGGGACTTTGCTGAGGATTTCTTCAACCTGACACTGAAGGAGCTGCATGTGCAGCGCTGGATGGCAGCTGCCTGCACACAGGCCCACTTCATACTAAAGGGAGACGATGACGTCTTCATCCATGTTCCCAACGTGCTTGAGTTCCTGGAGGGTTGGGATCCTGCCCAGGACCTCTTAGTGGGGGATGTCATCCACCAGGCCCAGCCTAACAGGAACAACAAAGTCAAATACTTCATCCCCTTCTCCATGTACAGGGCCCACCACTATCCACCTTATGCAGGAGGAGGAGGCTATGTTATGTCCCAGACTACTGTGAGGCGTCTTCACACAGCCATGGAAGAGGTAGAACTCTTCCCTATCGATGATGTTTTTGTGGGAATGTGCCTGAAAAAGCTGGGGGTGACCCCCACACACCATGCTGGCTTCAAGACATTTGGAATCCAAAAGCCCCTGAACCCACGGGATCCTTGCCTGTACAGAGGGCTCTTGCTGGTACATCGTCTAAGCCCCCTGGAGATGTGGACCATGTGGGCACTGGTGACAGATGAGAGGCTCAAGTGTGCAGCTACCCCTAAACCCTAGCCCTGAGGGATAGGTTGGGCAACAGCTTTTAGTGACAGCGATTTCCTATCACAGAATGAGAGCAGGTCCTTGCTGGTCAGTAGGAAACACTCTTCATTTTTATAATACCACCAACCTTATTCGATTAAAAGTGCTGAAACCTGGCAAACTTACCCAGTGTGTGCTGAATGGGAGTGTATGCTCCCAGGAAGGCCCAGGGCCCTTACGACTCCCACCATTTAGGCAGTGAAGAAAAAACATTGCATGAGAACCCCAAAGACTTTTCTTTTCGTTTTTAATGCAAACACCAAACTTCTCTTCTTTTGGACACAGAAACTCGAAGGAAGGAATAAGAAGCATGAGTTGGAGAAGGCCCTGTGGGGGACACCACAGGTGAACACTGTCATGCTCTGATCTGAGAAACTCCTTAACTGAGCTGTGCTCACAGGGACAAAGGACATTATCAACACAAATCTTACAAACCAGGCTCCCTTCTTTGGAGCAAACATTAAATTATACTTGAAAATATGAGTAATATTAAAAACTGTAGCTAAACAGCTATTGAACTTGAGGGTACGGCAGAAAAGGCCCCTTCTCTTCTGGCCCAGGTTGGTGAAATGCTTTGGGTATGAGGTAAAAAGATAGGCAAGAGAGGAGCCGAGTGGGACAGTGTTCAATGAATCACGCTCAAGGGCTAAGAACCAGGCCCATAAAGACTGAGACCAGAAAGAACAGGCACAGCTCACAAAAGGCTTCTGGTCTGACTGGCAAGGGCAGAACCTGTTGTCTCCTAAGAGTTGGGGTGACACTAGGTGGAGGCCATCACCTGCTTTCCCCACTGATTGGGTAGAGAGGGCAGTGGGCTCAAGCCCTCAATCTTCACGCAGGTAGGCATCCTCTTCCTGGTCAGCCCTCTCTTCACCCGCTTCCTGCATTTTCTGGTGCAACTCTTGTGTCTGTGTTTCAGCCAGCTTGGTTTCTGCTTTCTGGGAGAGCTGGCGCACCTCCTGCACCTGTGACTTCACCAGCTGGATGTGATTCCTGGCGGTTATAGAGGCCTGATCGGCTCCTGTCAAGAGAAGGAACAGTGCATTGAGCACAGAGAAGTCAGACATGAAAGCTGAGACTGCAGCTTGTTCCTCATGAGGTTACCTTCCCTGTATCTTGCTTCTCTGAGTCCAGTTCTACATCTTACTGCTTTTCAAGAGATGGGGTATTGGATGCTGGGGAGATGACTCAGTGGGCACCTGCTGCTCCACAGGACCCCAGATTGAGAGAACCCCATGTTGGGTGGCTCACAACCACCTGCAATTTGAGCTCCAGGAGATCTGATGCCCTATTCTAGACTCTATGGGCCCTACATACACATATACCTACAAACACACGCACCAAATTAAAACAGACAAAAAGCAGGCCTTCCCAATACAGCCGAGGCTGGCCTTGAGTTTTTCTGTTTCACCCCTAAGCTGCACCACCATACTCAGGTGGGTATTACATTTGAATACTGTTGTGTGTGTTTAGCTATTTCTGTATTTAAGGACTTGTTCTCAGATTCTATATACTTTCTATTTCTCCTCCTTAGTTTGGGATTGTTTTTTAAATAATTTTGATTTACTATGTGAGTGGATGCTACATGTATGAGGTACCTGTGGAGACCAGAAGAGGGCATCAAATCCCTGTGGACGTGGGTCCTCTGGAAGAGCAGCAAGCACTCTTAACCACTAAGTCATCTCTCTCTCCTGCCCCCTAGAGCTTGAGATTCTGAAGAGCCACGCTTTTGCTTTTCTGAGGTGTTAAGAAATCAAGTCCTCAGCTGGGCTTGGGGGCGCACAGCTCCCAGCACCCATGAGGCAGAGGTAGGTGATCTCTGAGTTCGAGGCCAGTCTGATCTATAGAGTGAGTTCCAGAACTGCCAGGGATACACAGAAACCCTATTTCAAAAAAAAAAAAAAAAAAAAAAAAAAAAGACAGAGGCCAACTTCCATTTCACTTGTAATCATGTCTGATTTTGCCTTGTTCTGTTCTTCAGTTCCCTCTCTGATACCACTGTTAGCTTCTATAACTAGCTTCTGAATTTTCAGTTTTTCTTTTCATAATTTCCATATTTCTGTGCTATATTATTTCAGGTGTGCTTCTGTTTAGAATGTGGGAGCACCTGTGCCATACCAAAGTGTTACAGGTCAAGGTCAGAGGACAACTCTTCAGAATCCTCTTTTTACTATGTGGGTTCTAGAAATTGAACTCAGATCATTAGATTTGATGGCAAAGTGCCTTAACCTGTTGAGCCATCTTCCTGGTTCTAGAATTATTTTTCTGGCATACCCTGTTAAGGTCTCTCTGTGTAGCCCTGGCTGTCCTAGCACTCACTCTGTAGACCAGGCTGGTCTCAAACTCGCAGAGATCCGCCTGCCTCTGCCTCCCCAGTGCTGGTATTAAAGGCGTGTGTCACCACCACTGCCTGTCTGTACTTTCTAACAGGCTATATGTCATTTTCTGCCTCAATTCAATCTGACATGTTTTCTCTGTCCCCTCTTCCCAAGTCTTTCTGCAGTGTGTGAAACCAGTCCCTGTTACTTCTCAAAAAGCTTTGCATGCTTTCATTTCCCCACAGTCAATTTCCAGGTTTTAGAAAAGTAAGTTTCTTCTTTCAAACTTGACTATAAGCAGGCGGAAAAGTCTGTTTAGTCAAATGTAAAACTTCAGTCTACTATCTGTTAGCTTGTACCTACCTTTGCAGGGTAAATCAACTACTACTGCTGGTTCTAGTTCTTCTTTCTAGTACCTTACAGGCTTTTTCTCTGAAAAAAGTTTTGGCTCACAGTTTAACATTTCTGAACAGAGATTCTTTTCCAGTAGTGCTCCCAACAGGTGAGTGGTGGTAATTCCTGGGAGCCCCTGTTGCAGTTCTTAGCTTCCTCAGAAGTGCCCGCCACATCTGGTGAGCCACTCCCTCCTACAACCGTGCTCTCACACTCTTGTTTCTGAAGTTTTAAGTGTGCTCTTTCTTCTCCACTATAGTATAAATACGATTATGTAGCACTGACTTTCCAAAAAATTAAAACCTGCTGGGAATGGAGGTTCAAGCCTACAGTCCAAACCCTTGGGAGTCTGAGGCAGGAGATCATCGAAAGCCTAAGGCTGGCTTGGGCTGCAGAGTAAGAGACCCTGTTCTCAACATTCCCCTCAAAATAAAAATCATTTTTAGGAGTTAATGCTGTAAAGCCTCAATCTGATGCCCTGATGTGAGAAAAAGTATACGTCTGGTTTGGAACTGGATCAGATGTTGAACATTGATCATTTCTCTTAGACACCGACAGTCAAATCACACCTTGGTACAGAAAAGAAAAACACCTAAATTTCCTGTGTAGGGCAGTAATAAGAGGACAGTGCTCTGGCCCCTAGCTCCAAGGCTCCTCATTTCCAATATGTTAACCTGTATTTTTTTTTTTTTTTTTTGAGACAAGCCTTACTTTGTAGCCCAGACTAGTCTCAGATTAAGACATCCTCTTAAGTGCTAGGATTATAGGCATGAACCACCATAGCCAGCACTAACATTTGTATACAAAGTATGAAGCAAAGGCTCAATTTGTTCACTTTCTAATTGTAACCTGGTGTCTTCAGAGTGGGAGTGTTAAAGGAACTTCAAGACCCAAAAGTGCCTATGAAGTAAGTGCCAGCACTGAGCCCTAGCAGAGAATGCTGTACTGGTTTCATCTCTCTGGTTTCTTTTTAAGAGTTCCTATACACTTATGACCTCATGTCCTCCTCTGTAAAGATGAAACCCTTAAAGCTATTTCTACTAGTTACTTTCTTGACACTTGCAGCCTGACTTCTGTAAGTGCAGATAAAACGTTAAAGCTTCACGTGGCAGCTTGGCCTGCCACTGGGGAGGCTGACACCAGCCTCTTCTACATATAGTGAGCCTGAGGCTAGCCAAGGCTATATAATGAGACCATGTCTCAAAATAACATAGAAATGGGGAAAACCTCAAAATCCTTGGTGGGGGTGGGTGCAGTGGAATGGGGTGGGGTGTCACATATCAGATATCTTGCATGTCAAGTATTTACACTATAATTCATAACAGGAAAGAATTAAATTTATGAAGTAACAATGAAAATTTATGTTTGGCATCACCATAACATGATGCACTGGATTAAAGGTCACAGCATTAGGAAGGTTGAGAACCACTGCTCTAAAAGATATTTGTACCACCAATTAGACAGTCTCATCTAAAGACATCATTTAACATCTAAATTAAAAGTAAACAACAAAAAGCCAATCCTTTACTACCAGTCTGATAGGCAGCCTCTGCAGCCATCTCTGACAGGCTAACTGCAGTCATCCAAGTGGTTTCCAGCTTCATGTATTCCTGCTGCTTTGACGTCATCTATAAGTGCAGAAAAGAGCTCCAGACACCATGAAGGGTTAACACAGTTGCCCTCAAGATAACAGTTTAGACACCATATGAAGACCATTATATGGAAATCGCTGACAAGTCTGCTCACCTCAACTCTGGCTCCTATAATCACCTGCCACACTTCATCTTCCTCCTGTGAATTCATTTTTCCAAGTAAACTTGTGTATTGTCGATACAGTGACACTAACGTATAAACAGCCTACAAACACAGAATAAATAATGAGGGTATAAAGTAAGTGAGGTACACTGGAAGGACTAGACAGTCACACCTTCAGAAAACCTTCACAAGTCCTGAGGTGTTAGTGCATACATGTAATCTCAACACTCTTCAGGAAGATGTAGCAGGAGGATTCCAAGTTCAAGACCAGCCTGAGCTACATATTGAGACTATCTCAAATGTACAAGGATTGGGGCTGGAGAGATGGCTCAGTGGTAAGAGTACTGACTGTTCTTCCAGAGGACCCTAGTTCAATTCCCAGCACCCACAGGGCAGCCTTCAACTGTCTGAAACTATAGTTCTAAGGGATCCAACGCCCTCCCACAGACACACAAAGGCCAAACACTAATGCACATTTAAAAAAAAAAAAAAAAAGGATCTTGTGGGGATCCCTTTCCTTAGCCAGTGCTAGGCCAAGATCAGCCCTTGACATAGTCATCAGAACTGAATAAGTGAGCAGCCCTATTTTCCTGCTGCAGACATTTATATGAGAAGGAGGAAGGGGCGGTTGACTCATAACCAGTCACTGCTTCCCTGGGCACCAGCATGCACTCCTACTCATACCCATAATAAAAACCTCATTACAGTAACTCAACTTTTCATCCGAGTTGTACCAGTGTAAGATGTAGAGCCATCATCCAGGACATCAGTTTTTTTCTTGAGACAGGCTCTCACTGTGTCAACTAGGCTGGTCTAGAATTCAGAGATCTGCCTACCTCTGTCTCCTGAGTGCTAAGATAACATGCAGCCTGCCTTTTTAAAAAATTAGTAACAGAATCTTTGAGTTCAAGACCAGCATGGTCTACATAGTGAGTTCCAGAGCTACACTGTGAACCCTGTCACATACACAAAACTAAAAAATTAGCCGGGCGTTGGTGGCGCACGCCTTTAATCCCAGCACTCTGGAGGCAGAGGCAGCCGGATCTCTAAGAGTTCGAGGTCAGCCTGGTCTCCAGAGAGAGTGCCAGGATAGACTCCAAAGCTACACTGAGAAACCCTGTCTCGGGAAAAAAACAAAAACAAAAACAAAACTAAAAAATTTTGTTTGCCATCTAGACAGATATGCAAAGAAAAAGAAATGCATAAGAGACTTTAAGACAGTGTCTTGCTTGGTAAGGCTGCCCACGATGGCTCCACAATTTCCAGAGTAGCTAGGGACTGGAGCCAGGAACCACTGCATGCTGACTGCTCTGGTGATTGTATGATCACAGACCTCTTGAAACCTATTGAAGCAGATGAGCTGTTTTTTTTTTTTTTAAATATTTTATTTATTATGTATACAACATTCTGCTTCCATATATATCTGCACACCAGAAGAGGGCACCAGATCTCATAATGGATGGTTGTGAGCCATCATGTGGTTGCTGGGAATTGAACTCAGGACCTCTGGAAGAGCAGCCAGTGCTCTTAACCACTGAGCCATCTCTCCAGCCCCCAGATGAGCTGTTTTATGTACTAGGCTATCTGCCTTAACCTTCACATCCTCCTGCCTCTACCTCCCAAGGGGTGGGATTATGGGTGTGCACCACCATGTTGTTAAGAATAAAACCAAGGCAAGCACTCTATAAAGAGCTACTACAAAAACCCAGCCCTTAGCAACATTTTCTTAAATGGCCAGACTGTAAATATTTGAGGGTCAAGAGCCTTTTGACTTCTGCTAAAGCTACTGAAACTCTAGCAACACATACATAAACCTGGCCAAGTTCCAATAAAATACAAACACGGCTATTAGACCTGATATGTTTGTGAGCCACAGTTAAGAGGGGAGTGCAGACTGTAGCTCTTTAGAGTACTTGCCTGGCACCATAAACCTCTGGATTCCATCTCATTACATGGGGAAAAACATGCGCAAAAGGACACATACCTTTGTATACTCAGTGATTGCTTCCATCAGAGCATATGTGGTTTGGGACAGAAAGGTGGAGGTGCTATCTGTCACCAAAGACACAGCCCTCCTCATTAATGCTTCGTTACTAAGAGATTGAGGCTCCGATTTCTGAAAGACAAACAGTCACTCAATTTCCAACCTGAATAAAGCTTAAGATGAGGAGTTCCAGGTCTCAGAAGATCCCCTGCACTTTGTGCAGGTGGAGCTCCGGCCGCCTTCTTCCTTGGGGTAACTTTTTAGGCTTTCTGTTTGGTGATTTAAGACAGCATAGGGATATAACTACAGGGTAAGGTTCCTTTCCACGCTCACTCACCTAGAGAACTGAGTGTCAAGGGAGCCGTGGCAGAGTCGACCAATCCTGTGTCGAGGTGTTACTAGCAAAGACTTCAGATATCTCATGTGAACTGAGCTGAGTCTAACAGTAGATGTGGGGTGATCTGGGCAGGGGAAGACCCACTCACTATAACCTCAGCTATTATACTGAAAATCAGAATTATGGGATTTGGTCACTCCAACTAAAAACCCGATGTGACTCATCACCCAAATAACCTTTTTTCCTTCTGACAGAGACCTCGCTGTATCAAAACCACTGTTCTGTGGTCTACTTACTGTGTTGGTTTTGCTGGGTGGAGTGTAAAACTCCAGAATAACTGTTAGAAGCAGCATGACTATGAAATGGTTTTTAATACGTGAATAAATCAAGAATGCCATATCTATATTTCATACACACCTCAAACTCTGACATAGCATCTTGAAACCCTGAGTATAACAACCCTAACTTTACAATGTGTTTTCATTCATTTCTGGTGTGGACATCTCTACCTTTTACAGATGATTAAATTCACACACAGAACAGCCATGAAACTTTCCCTAGAAATCAATTATATAGTTAAACCTCAAAGCAAACTCTCTCCAAAGCCTGTACTCTTATGTTCTGCTGACCCAATACAGTGCCACACAGATCATCAAACATCAAAACATACACTTACAGTAGTCAGAAAGAGAAGGACAGTTGACTGGGAACTGAGAAAGCCTTTAAAGGGATGTGACTTGGTCCTCAAGAAGCTAAGACTAAAATGGTTAAGGTCCTTGGAAGGAAATGAACCCCAAAGTCAAAGCCCAGTTGGCATGAGAGAAATGAAGGTGTTATGGGCCAGGGGCGCAAGCACTTTAGCTGTCTGTAGCACATAATGGGGTCACATCACGGAGTTTGCAAGGGCAGACTGACACTGCAGGAGAGTGGTACAGAAGCTCTAGTCCTGTGGCCCAGAACTGACTAGTACCTGGGACTCAGAAAGCAGTGTATAAACAGAGAAGGACAAACCCCACAATTCTCAGAGAAAAAGAATGTTTCAGGCTGGCAAGACAATTCAGTTGTGAAGGAGGCACCGGCTGCTGAGCCAGACTACTTGTTCAACCACCGGAACCAGCTCCTGCATCTGTCCTGATATCTTCACCCATCACACAAAAATATAATTGTAAAAGGGCTGTTTTGGGCTGGAGAGACAGCTCAATGATTAAGAGCACCAACTGCTCTTCCAGAAGACTAGGGTTCAATTCCCAGCACCAACATGGCAGCTAACAACTGTCTATAACTCCAAGATTTGACAGCCTCACACAGACATATATGCAGGGAAAACACCAATGCAAATAAAATAAAAATTATTAAAAATAAGGGGGCGGTTTTGTCATCAGGATGACTGATGTTAAGTGAACATTTTAGAGCTAAGGTTCATCAGCAGGCAGAGATGACAGTTGAAATGCGATAGATGGGGTACAATGAGATAGACTGGCACAAGCCTCAGATGTTAAAAGTGCTTGTAACAAGCTGGGTGTTGGTGGCGCATGTCTTTAATCCCAGCACTCGGAAGGTAGAGGCAGGCGGATCTTTGTGAATTCAAGGCCAGCCTGGGCTCCAGAGTGAGTGTCAGGATAGGCTCCAAAGCTACACAGAGAAACCCCCGTCTTGGGGGAAAAAAAAAAAAAGTGCTTGTAATAAGTGGATATAAAATATCAGGGATATTTTGTTGACTTGAGTTTGCTGGTTTCTTATCCAGGTCTTCTCCATAAACCATCTTCTCCTTCACATATCCAGTAATTTTAAAAAATTATTTTCATATCATCTGCTCACTGATAGCTCCACTGGGTTCTCACTGACATGCTATAACTTTCTTCTTATGGAGACCCATTCCTCTGCCCCAGCAAATGGACAATTCATCTCCCTCACTCCTCTGCTGCCTATCAGCCTAACTAATAATAACCTTAAAACCTACTCAACATCGTAATATTCCCAGAACAAATCCTTTGTGGTCTCTTCAGAATAAAATCCAAAGTCTTAGTGACCCACAAAAATCAGGTCACAGTGTCTGATCCCTGGTCACCTCGGTGGCCTCACCTATTAAACAGTTAGTTCCTCGTTCCACTCAGCCCACCTTGCTTTTCTGCACACCACACAAATTCAGTTTCTAGGCTTTTGCCTGCAATCCCTCCTTCTGCTGCCGGCTTCTCCCTTCTTTAGGTCATTTCCAGGGCACAGTCTCACATTGCCCAGGGTAGCTTTCTCGAAGCACACTTACACGAAGCGTCCCATCCCACTGTACCCTCTTTCCTTCAGATTACATCACCAGATGACTTTTCTTTCTTGTTTGGTTTTTTCAAACAGGGTTTTTCTGTGTAGGTCTGGCAGTCTGGACCAGGCTGCCTCTGGGATTAAAGGCATGTGCCACCATGGCAGCGCGCTTTGTATTTTTTCTTTGGTGTGCCTTTTTGAGAAATCTCAAGATGCAACAAACCCAACCTAACCTCAAGCTTTGATTTGCCTGCCTTAGCCTTCCCAGTGTTGGGATTACAGGAATATACCACCACACTCAACTTATATTTGCATATTTTCTCACCAGAATATATATTTTATGATAGTCAGTGTATGGCACAAAAGAGTCCTTCAGTAAAGTTGTGCTGAATGACAGACTTCTGCCAACAGACTGTCATATTCTTTTATCTCATTCTATCCATTATGCAACTGTTTACCCCTAGTATTGACTAGGTGACCGGAACTTGATTCCTGGCTAACTCTCTAGCCTCACCAATTAAACAGTGCCTCTCTCCACTACTAATCTTATCCTCGAACTCCTAATCTTATCTTTGAAGACGGGATGCCTATACAAGTTCCTCAGTAAGTTAGTCTACTGGTGGGATATAAAATGGTGGCCTGTGACAGCCAACCAACCTCTAACTTCTTGATAGTTCCAAGAGAGTCAATTGATACACTCTCCAGTGCCAGGACAGTTGAGGATTACCTCAGTGAAAAGTAAACAAACAAATAAACAAACAAAAACCAACCAAACAACAACCAAGGGGCTGGAGAGACAGCTCAGCTCAGTGGTTAAGAGCACTGGCTGCTCTTCCAAAGGACTCAGGTTCAATTCCTAGCAACAAACATGGCAGCTCAAAGCTGTCTCTAACTCCAGTTCCAGGAAATCTGACACCCTCATATAAATGCAAGCAAAAGCTCCAATGTACACTAAAAAGATAAATCTTAAAAGCCACAGAGAAACCCTGTCTCAAAAAACCAGAGAGAGAGAGAGAGAGAGAGAGAGAGAAAGAAAACGAGCCAGGTGCATGCCTTTAATCCCAGCACTCTGGAGGGCAAGACAGGCTGATCTGAGTTCAAGGCCAGCCTTGAGTACAAAACTAGTTCAAGGACAGACAGCCTGGGCTACATAGAGAAATCCTGTCTGGAAAAACAAAACAAGCAAACAAAACAAAAATGAATTCCCAGGAAATAGCCACCATTCTCAGAAAAACATGACTACTCCCCACCCCCCCTTTAATCCCAGCACTCTGGAGGGCAAGACAGGCTGATCTGAGTTCAAGGCCAGCCTTGAGTACAAAACTAGTTCAAGGACAGACAGCCTGGGCTACATAGAGAAATCCTGTCTGGAAAAACAAAACAAGCAAACAAAACAAAAATGAATTCCCAGGAAATAGCCACCATTCTCAGAAAAACATGACTACTCCCCACCCCCATTTTAGCCTACCACCCCCCCTTCAGTTCCTTTGAAATATATTTTTAACCTCCGAACCGCCAAAGGCTGAGAAATTCATTTGCAAAGTTTATCTTCAACTTCTATGTTTGGCACAAAATAAAAGTCTACTTCCCAGCTCAACTGGCGCTCAGTTTCACTGGTTCCCTAATTTGGGGGTGATGGGGGAGGGGCGATGAGCGGTAACAGTGCTGTTTCCACAACATGAGACCATGAAAATCAACTCTTGAGAAGATGCTGGTACAGTACAGTGCACAGCATCATGGGAGGTGACACTTGTGCAACTATGGCGGCTTCTATGAAGAACGGGAAAAGTCACATGACCGTCCCTTACCTGTGCAATAGGAACTGCACACAGGGTCATGCCGAATCCAGCCATCATCGTTTTGTGCCATGGTCTTATCAATGCTGAGAAACAGCGTTTCTTAGAATTAGCCACGACCGGGACACGCTGTCCATACCTGGAAACATAGATCAAATTTTAAAAATCACAAATCTGTCAAGGGCTCTTGGGTCTGCAGGAATTGGACCAAGCAGGAAACTAAACAAGGAGGTGGCAGAGGTCGTCTCAGAGAAGAAACCACAGGGTGGCCTGTTAAATCCCAGAAACAGGGAGAGGTGGTGGCGAGCCTTTAATCTCAGCACTCGGGAATCAGAAGCAAGCGATCTAAGCTCCAGGCCAGCGAGAGCAACCAGCCAATGTGCGCGGGCGCTTTCCACTAGGTGGAGAAGTTGAAAAGTTGCCTCAGAGCTGCTTAGCAACCTGACGCCAAGATAAAAGTCTCCGGCCCGCAGGATTTAGCTTTGGACCCGGGTCCTGAGTTCACGGTGTCTCTAATGATCCCTGTTGGCAAGGCGCGGGGGCCAGCAGCCGCAGAGCACCACGGGCGTCGGGGGCCCGAGTTTCCCGAGACGTGTGCTAACAGCGCGCTGCCAGCCCGGGCCCGCAGCCAACGCCATGGCCCGTCTGTCCCTCGGCGCCCTCGGGGGCCTTAAGCT